GAAACATGGGCAAATAATCTGGATTCGTTCGCCATTTCATTTGGATTCTGATTGGATTGAGCCACGTGTGATAACGTCCTTAGGCACATCCAAGTTCCCCAATGGGAATGGCTGGATATCTTTGTCCAGGAGACAATGTTCCCATTTAGTTCAAGGGTGGAGAAGTGGAGTTGTGCATGCAGTGCTATTGTACATCTAGGGCCATGCACTGAATTGCACATGCAGTTGTGCATTGGGTTGTAGATTCAGTTGGGCAACACAAACAATGCAACACAAGGGTTGGGTTGCACAATCAATGCACAACTCCACATGCAGAGATTTATGTTACATGAACACAGTATAGGATCTTGGCCATAGACTATTTTCTAACTTCCTGTTGTTGAAGGGAATATATATTCAAAGTTTTTTTCAAAGGGGATAAAAAAACCCCTTAATAACTCCTCCATCTGCTTTAATAGTTGATCAGGGGCAGAGGAAATTGTCCCTGCTGGACAGAGTCCCAGAAGGACAGATAAGCTGTAAATGACAGAGGCAATTGCTGGTTCAGAAAAATCTGATCCCTGCGGGATTATTCCACTTTTGAAAAAATGTTATCATTTTGAGGCTGCTTATATTTTAATGGAGCCATTAGCACTCAGAGCTGGCAGTGGTTAAGTGTTCTGTTCTACAAGACTGGCTACGTTTCCCACAGGAAATTGTTTTATAAATCATTGTGGAAGCTGAAACTCTCTTTTTTTGTGTGTGTGTTTTATTTTAAAAAAAATCTGTACAGATTTCTGCAGATGGAAGGGCAAGTAAAATCAGAGAAAGAGATGTAGGGTCTTGGTTGCAGTTATGAATGCCATGGTAACACCCCATGCTTGACTACTGCAATGTGTTGCATGAAGAGTCTGCCAGCATCTCCAGGCAACCTCTCCTGATAGCATATGAAGACCAAAGTGTGCAAAGGACTTTTGGCTCCTGCTCTTGGGTAGATTTTCATGTTCTGGCTCAAGATCTGACGGAGTGGGCAACCCGAGAGCCTGTGGTCAAATTTGGACCTCTCAAATGCTTCTCCGAACACACAGGGTGCATCGACACTGTAAAAAATAATGTAGTTTGACACCACTTTGGCTGCATATGGAATGCAGAATTAATGCAGCTTGACACTGCTTTAACTACCATGGCTCAATGCTATGGGATTTGTAGTACAATGTGGCACTAGAGCACTCCAACAGAGAAAGCTAAATATCTCACAAAACTGCAAATCCCAGAATTGCATAGTGTTGAGCCATGGCAGTTAAAGTGGTGTCCAACGGCATCAATTCTGCAGTACGGATTGGACCGGAGTGATAAAGCAACAAATGATGTAATTCATAGCACTGAACTGAATGAACCTTTGGTTGTGTTTACTAAAGCTGGGCTTCCACCCTTCTCTTTTCTCATCTCTCCTTTTCTTTTTAAAATTTCTCCACAGCACCTTCCATATACGAATCTGAATTCTGTGGGCAGAACAACTGGATTGAACACTTGTCCTTCCTCTTAGCACCTCAGGCACCATGGAGGCCTCTGAATTCTTCCATCAAAGGACTAATGTCATTTTGGACCATCCCAGTGATGGAGTATCGCCGTTTTCCATGCTCTTTGGAATACCTGTGGAAATGTTGTTGGTTTTGTCTATGTGTACGTGTTTTAAACTCATCACCGTTGGCCAGCAATATCATGAGCTGAATGGCCATGAGGTCCTTCTTTAAGGAACAACTCACTTGGACACTCTTCCATGGATTTGCCTCCCTGTGATTTTTATACAGTATTTGTAAAGATTTGATAATGTTGTCCCTCCAGGCAAAAAAAAGGAAGAGTGATCAAGAAAATACGTAGACTGTCCTGGATATGAATGGATTCCAAACAAGAACAAAACACTGGCCTGAAAGGAAGATATCTCCATGGTTGCAGAGCAAAGTCAATGGTCTGTTCACTACAAGGAAATGGGATGGATCTCTGTGCTGTTGTATCCGTAGGGTGGAAGAGAATATGCCTGCTGAATGTGCCATTGGACTGGCTTAGTTGCTCAAGCAGCCAGTGGAATGCTTATATCCTTAATGATACTTGAAATATTTTCCTCGAAAAGAAAGCAACAACAATAACAACCAACATCGTGTACATTAATGATTCATTTCTTCTCCAAATGGACTCTTTGGGATTGCTTCTTCAGCATCCAAGGAAGGTCATGTTTCTCCTCATATCCTGATTCAATTATTCTGACAGATTGCAAAAAAATAAAACCCAGGACAAAAAGGCAAGACCAAACGATAAACATACATATATTCCCGTAAAGGAATTATCCAGACAGAGTGCAAAAAAAGAAAAAAGAGTAAAACAAAAGGGGAATGAATACCCAAAACTAAACCCAGGAAACTTATCACCTGTCCAAAAGACACCTCTTGCTTCTTGGAGAAAGCCAGCTATGCAATCTTCCTTCTCAAATGCATGATATCCATGCTCCGTCTTTGCACCTGTTTCTCTGTCTCAAAAACCAGACTCTTTACTTATTTTTATTTCAGTCCGGTCTTGGTTGAAAACTGGGACATGGTGACAATCACACATGTACAACTGTTCTTGAACAGTTCTTCTAGAAGGGCTCTGATACTACATATTTGTGGCTTCTGTATCCAAGTCATCCATGATTAAAACGTCCACTGATTTTATGATACCTGGTGGGTTTTTGGTTTGGACAGCAGCCTGAGCTTTGGGATCCAAACCTAATTGATGGAAACAAACACATTTTATTACTTCATTTTAATGTATTTATTGGTAGTATGCTCTCAACGGTGTGGATGGTACTTCTCTTCTTCCTGTGTCAACTGAAGGCTCCATTGTCAACAGGATGGCGAATCTGATCTGGCTTGTAGTCCAGACTTTGAAGGAACTATCTAAGGCATTGAACTCTATTCCCAAAATAGAATCAAGACCTTGGACAACTCCCTTAAAGTCTGGACTAAAACACAGAGCAGATTGACTGATCTCAGAGCCATCAGCACCTACTGCTTTCTACCTACTTTTATCTTCACAGCAGCCCTGTGTGATAGACCAGGTTGAGATAGAGAAAGAGAAGGACAATTTTGGGAAATTTGGAGTTGGGGATTGGACAGTAGGGGCAGGAGAGCTGAGCTTCTTGCATCTCCACCTTGTTTTAAGCTGATTTGACTGGTTTTGGGGGTGGAAAAATTGCCTGAAAATCAGGACAAATGTTCATGTTGAAAGTGTTTGGAGGCCTCCAGGAGCCACAAAAGTGAGTCTCAGGGGCCTATCCCTGGTTTATAGGGATCATCCCTGGCTTATAGTGATGAATGTTGGCTTCCATGTCAGGAGTCCAACAAATCCTCACCGTTCCCCCCCCCCAGGCACCCAAGGAGCTATCCAAGGTGCTGAACACAATATTGCCAGGTTTCAGTACTATGGGCAGCTCCATTAAAGACTGGGATTAATACAAACCTGGAATGAATTCAGCATCCCACTGACATGGAAGCCCACCAGCTGTGACTGAATGTTCAGAACCACAGCCTGGTACCAAGAAATGGAGGGTTTTTTGGTTTCTTTTCTGGCAGAAAGGGCAGGAAAAAAAGGAGAAGGACTTCTTGATTTCTGCTTCCTGCCCTGCAGCTGGCAAAATGAATCAAGTCATTAAGAAAAACATAAGTGGTTCTTCTTGAATGGGTTCTTTCCCCCCTGTCTGCTTCTAATTCATCTCCGTTTGATGTCACATGGGAGCTGGAGTGTCAGGGCAAACTGGAAAGGGCAGACTGGAGTCAAGGGCAAACTTCAAGCTTGCTGTCCTCAGATTTATTCTGGCTTTGCAAAGGACCTGTAATAAACTCTGGGGCTGCTGAGACAGTCAACCTCAGGAGGGTTATTTTTTCCCTGTTTAAAAAAAAATCATTGTTGGGGTTGAAACAGTAGTATGGGGAAGAGGAGGTGGTGGTAAAGCTACTGATATTTTAATTTAAAGAGGAATAAGACCGCTGGATAGTTTCAAACTAACTTGGAAGTGAGGAAAGAGTATCGGAGCAGCTTGTTGAGCTAGTATGGTGAACCTTTGGCTCCTCAGATGTTTTGGACTATAACTCTCATCAGTCCCACCCAGAATGGCTAGTGGCAACAGATTGTGGGAGTTGTAGTCCAAAATCTCTCCTCCTTCCTGTTCCTGCTGTTAAGCACGGTACGGTTGTTAATGCTGATATGTTGCAAAGAAGCACCTTGAAAATCACAAAGCTGAGAGCTTTTTGTCTAAGTGCTTTGTATAAGAGCATTCCCATGAAAAAAACACACCTGAACAAAACCTGCACAAAACACAAATTAACCCACTTGACACACTGTGACACTTTATAACATTATATGGATGGCACATTATAACATGGAAGGAGGCATTTCTTATGACTGCAGTGGTCGCTGCTTCTCGCTGGTGATCTTCAGTACAGATGTGGGTTTAACACAACTTTTTGACTGCCGCAGTCAGAATTTAGTCTTCTTGTCCGTAAAGAAGAACCTTCTGGGTTTGTCAATCTGCTGGGAGAATTAAGCACAATAGCACTTCATTTGGGGATAAAAGACAAGCAGTTCTGAATAATAGTAACAACAGTAATAACAACAACAACAGTAACCTTAGACAATTGATGTGCCAATCCTGGGGACAGCAGAATCGAAGACCACGAGAGAGAAAAGATTATGAAATACTGAGATCCAAAACACACGGCAGAAATAATCCAGTTTGTGATGGCTGGTTCAGCACTAGGAAATCCTGGGGATTGTAGTTTATTGTGGCACCAGAGCTTCTCTGACAGAGAAGGCTAAATGTCTCACAAAACTACAGTTCCCAGGATTCCCTAGCATTGAGCCAGAGCAGTTAAAGTGGACTCAAACTGGATTATTTCTGCAGTGGTGTTTTGGACCTGAGATCACAAATTGAGATCTAGCGCCTCAGGGTAAAGGAAATAACTGGGTAAAAGAACTAACTGGTGAGAGTCAATGTGGCATAGTGATTTAAGTGTTGAAGTATGACTCAAGAGGCCAGGGTTCGAATCCCTGCTCAGCCATGGAAACCCACTGGGCAACTTTGAGCACTTCCAACTTCTTTCAGTCTCAGAAGGAGTCAAAGGCAAACCTCTCTCTGAACCAGTCTTATCCTATCCAGTGAATAGCTGCAGCAGCTTAAATGTGGGTTTTGGGGGGAATTTGGTCATTGTGCAGTTGGTAGAGAATTGCAACTTCTGCAACACCAAAATGTGAGTGAAGCAGAAGTAAGTTGGACTTACTCCTTCATAGGTCACTAACAGGATGCCAGGTGTTGCTTCTCGGTTGCAGGCTAGGGTTAGCAGCCGAAGGAAACAGGGGCTGCATCTACACAGCAGAATGAATGCAGTTTGACACTGCTTAAACCACCATGGCTCAATGCTATGGAATTCTGAGATTGGTAGTTTTGTGAGATGGTTAGCCTTCTCTCTTAGAGAGCTCTGGCACCACAACAAACCACAAATCCCGGGATTCCATAGCATGGAGCTTTGACAGTTAAAGTGGTGTCAAACTGCATTAATTCTTTACTATAGCATCAGTTAAGTTTTCCTAGTATTATCGGCATTAGTAGCTACATTTCCAAGTGCTCCTGGGAACTAGATTAGTAGTTGAGAAAAAAGGGAATGGGGATGTAGGAAGGAGTGGTCAGGTATTTATTTTAATTTTCTTAAGGAAAGTAAGGATGCTGATACCTTATGGCTTGGCTTTGCCTCTGTTCCTTTTGCAGGGCTGAAGGGAATTTGTTCATAGGTGTTCTCCATGGTGGGAACATGCTTTATCGATGGTGAGACTTTGGTGAAATGATCAGGGACCTTTCTGTACGGATCATCGGGACAAGGCTGCATCTTGGAAGGTCTCCCACTCCTTGGAGAAACCCAATCATAACTCTGTTTGGGTTTGGTTGGCAAGGCCTTGGAAAGCTTTTCTGAATCATGCTCATGGGTGACGCCCTTCAACCACCCGAAAGAGACCTGTTCGTACATATTGCTTGTCTTGTCACAGGTAGATACCGTAGCGTAATGGGACTTCACCTTGTTGATCTGCCCATACATGGTTTCCCTTGGTGAATCAGGCAAAGTTTTTGGCTTTGGAGAATCTTTGTCAATCACAAGAGAGGTGGCGCATGCTGCAAATGGTGGCGTTGACCCTTGGGGCTCCATGGAGGTGTTTGGTTTATTCTTAGGAGACAACTTTGGAGGAGTTGAAGAGGGAGAGCTTAGGGTCACCTTCTTTGGTGGAGTGAGAGAAAACTGACCAGTCAGGGGCTCAGGAAGCATCCAGCCACTCTTGTCTTGGTCCAGGTCAATTTCAGAATAAATTGTTTCTGGGAGAACGGTTTCTCTAAGATCGATTTTTTGACTGTAAAATCTATCAGATTGCTTAGCCATTGTAAACAGAGTGGTTGTTTTCTTTCTGCAAGATGAGGCAGTACCTTGGTCTGCTCCTTCAGGTCTCTGGGAACCATCTGTCATACCTTTATAGGGTTTTTCTGGCACCTCTGGGCTTCTGTCGTTGAATTGGTGTTTCTTGAGTTCTGCATAGAAAATGTTTCCTTCGCCACTTAAGTTGTCCTCAAAGGACTCTGAGAGCAGCAGGCTACTCCTGGCTGGAACTGGTGGGGCATCATCGGAGTCCTGGTGTGAGACAGGAGGAGAAGGTAAGGAAAGGGAGAAAAAGGAAGAAGAATAAGGAAGATGATGATGATGAAGAAGAACAGAAAGGAGGAGGAGAAGCAGGAGGAGAAAGAGGAGGAGAAAGAGAAGGAGGAAAATGAGGAGGAGGACGATGAGGATGAGGATGAGGATGGTGAAGAGGAAGGGGAGCAGGAGGAGGAGGAGGAGGAAGAGAAGGACAAGGAGAAGAAGGGAAAATGGAAAATCAGAGGGAGAAGTAAGAGAGGAGGAAGGGGAAGAATAGGAAAGAGGAGGAGGAGGAGGAGAGGAAGGAGGGAAGGGAGAGAAGAGGAAGAAAATGGAGGAGAAAGAAAAAAGGGAAGGCAGAGGAGGAAGGAAGGAGAAGGAGGAGAGGGACCGGAAGGAGGAGGAGGAGAGAGAAGGATGTATTCAATGGCCAGCTCTTGAATACAGATTTCAAGATGTGGTAATACAATTCTAGGAAACCTTCTGGATTTCACTAAAGATCCCATCTAGTCCAGTATCCTGTTTATCACAGTGTTATTTAGAGGTGTGCTGCCTCTGAACAATGGGTTTGAAAGTGGCATCCCCCCCATACCCCTATATAGACTTTGCAGGGAGGGTACTTGGTTGAGGGAGATTTGCTCTATTCAGAAGCAGGGAAGGGGTCAACCTCCAGAGGTTGATGGACATTAACTCCCATCACCCTTAGCTAGCAGAGGCAATGTTGAGGGTGGGTGGGATGGCAGTTCACTAGCTTCTGGAGAGATGTATATTCTTCCTACCTGGATGAGATTTTCCTCTCACCATACCAAACCTACCTCTGGACTTAAATCTGGCTTCTCTTTTGATAAAGACTTCTGTTGCTCCTGAAGCTTCTTCCCTGGTTTTGTGGGCTGGTTGCTGATATTCCCCTTTGCTGGAATGGATGAGCTACCAGATACCTGCCTGGTCAGCATTGGGGCACCTGCTGTGGAACTCTGCTTGGAAGATGTCTGCTGGTCCACAGAGATTTTATCATACACACTTGTTTCCTCTTGCTGCAAAAGTGTAGGGGGAAATGGTATGGAAAGAACCGTAAATGTCAAATGAAGTAACACCACCTCCAATAACAGTTGTTTCACATAGAGGCAAAGATCCAACATCATCTCAGAGCAGCATATATATCACCTGGTGGAGTTAGGCTATGCATGCAACCATGCAATTTATATACTGAATACCACTGTAGCACAACACATGAGAAAAGGTGAACGCACATAGCTGTCATCTCAGTGCATAGTGTGCAGAGGCAGAGCAATGTGCACATTGACCTTTAGCTATAGGTGCATCATTGCACATCTGCAATGGTTCCTTGGGTGGAACTCTGCTCCTACCACCGTTGGCTGAACACTTCTGTTCCATATTGTCCAAAAAGGTCACTTCACATAGGCTAGCCCGATGTCCTTTATTGTAAAGGATGACCCTCATTCTGGGGTCAGAAAGATTGTTCATTATAGGACTGGCAGATGTCCCTTGCAGAAGGGATGTAGCTATGTATTCATAAAGTTACAAAATGTAGACCATGATGTAGAATCTTGGCCAATATTTTTAGCCCGTTTGAGAGTGACACCTTCAGCAAATGAGATGAAATGCTGACTCTATTTCTCTTTGTGTGATCTATCTATCTATCTATCTATCTATCTATGACTTACCTGCCTACTTACCTATTAGTCATATATATACTGGCTTGCATCTTAATAGTCTCTGTTAAAGTACACCTATTGAGCCAATGGGATGTTGATTCACCATTCTGTAAGCAATGGTGTCAATGGGTCTACTCTAGTTGGGACTAAATAATAGGTTCAAGCCATAATGTATATATTGTGAAGGGTCCAGGTTTGTTTGTTTTTTAAATCCTGCTCAATTTCTCACCTGTTCAGGCTGTACCCACCTGTTTATTTTGTGATCATACAATTGAGGGGGGAATGAGGGCAATTTCAGCCCTTCCTGAAATATCCTTCCTATGAAAGGATATCATCCTCTCCAGCCTTCTTGTAGCAGAATCCTCCATTTTGGGGCTGAATTTTTTTTAACCAACTGGAGTGAAAGAGGGGCTGGGGACAGCTATGGATCACATGAGGTTTGGGAAAAATCTTTGCAGAATGCATGCAGGATCTGTGGGGTACACAATTCCCACTCTTGCATGCAGCATTTGGGTGACTTGGGTTTTGAGTTACCTTTGAACACGCCACTGAAAGTTTTTCACCAAAAGGCTCAATTTCGGTCCTTTGGTAGTAACTTATCAGTTCAGCAAGGCTCGGATGAGTCTGGGTGTCCCCTGAGATGGCATAATATCCATTCCGTTGATGGCTGATGACAAAATGTCGGCATCGGTCTTTCCCCCTGCAATCAAAACACACCCCTCCATGGATACACATTACAAAAGGAGGTTCCAACAACATTTGGAAAAGCTTCTTGATGGCAAGAGCCAATGGACAATAGAATGGGCTGCCTTGGAAGGTGGGAATTTTTCTTTCATTGGAGGTCTTTAACCCAAGGTTGGATGGCTACCTCTCATGGCACTTGCCCTTCACTATGCCCTTCCAACTCTGTAATTCCACAAGAAACATTCAAGACTTTCTAGAGAAGAATGCCTACTTCTCTAATGTGCCCTGCAGAGAAAATACTATTTTCTATACAAAACAACCATGTGCAAATTTTGCGTAGGATAAGCTCCGAACTATGAAGACTCTCATCAGGATTGTTCTTCTCAGTCTTTCTCAACACTTGAAAAAAAATGTTTTTCATGACCGTTTTGCAAATATTTTTTAAATGTTCTTTCCACCTCCCATCCCAACTAGAGCAGACCCATTGATTCATTTGCATTTAACTATATGTTGACTATGGGCCTTTTCAGACTGCCAGAAATAGTGCAAATTGAGTCCACTTTAAGGGTTAGGGTTAGTGCTAGGGAATCATGGGAATTGTTTTTTCCCCCCTGAGAAATTGAGCCTTCTCTGTCAGAGAGCTCTGGTGCCACAATAAAATACAGTTCCCATACAGTTCACTATTTCCATCCAAGAAGCACTAGAAAGCTAATAGTTAGACCACTGACCTTTTGGGTGAGAAGCAGCCGGAGATCATGTCCAGTCCCCAGAGATGAGTTGGATTTGGAACAATGGCAGTGGAGGTGGAAAAAGGAAGAGATTGAACCCATCATAAGGAAGTGGATACATTATATACACTTATCTTTCTTTTTTTGCATCTAACCACAAATGAGCCATGATGAAAGGAAAACTCTCATAAAGACACTCGCTCAGGACTTTTTACGCATTACCAAGCTGGGTTTTTGCATGAGCTTCATTCTAGCCTTTGATAGACAAGTTCTAATAGACTCTTTTCTCCCAAAG